CTGGCTACGTACGGTGGTTGCGAAAGAGGATCAACACACACAACAACACACAGACACACACACATAGACACACACACCATACACATAGACACACACAGACACACACACAGATACACACACAGACACACAGACACACACACAGACACACACACAGACACACACAGACACACACACATAAAACAACACATAGAGACACACAGACACACACACATACACAACAACAACACACAGACACACACAGACACACACACCACAACAACACACATAGACACACACAGACACACACACATACAACAACACATAGACACACACAGACACACACACATACACAACAACACACATAGACACACACAGATACACACACATACACAACAACACACATAGACACACACAACTACACAACACACACATAGACACATACAGACACACACACATACACAACAACACACATAACAGACACAGACACACTACACATACACAACAACACACATAGATACACACAATACAGACCCACACAGACACACACCAGACACAACAACACACACCAGACACACACAGACACACACAGATACACACACATACACAACAACACACATAGACACACACAGACACACAACACACACTAACAACACATAGACACACACAGATACACACACATACACAACAACACACATAGACACACACAGACACACACACAGACACAACAACACACATAGACATCACACAGACACACACAATACACAACAACACACATAGACACACACATGACACACACACATACACAACAACACACACAGACACACACAGACACACACACATACACAACAACACACACAGACACACACAGATACAGACACACACACATACACAACAACACACATAGACACACACCAGACACACCACACATACACAACAACACACATAGACACACACAGACACACACACATACACAACAACACACACAGATACACACAGACACACACACATACACACAACACACACACAGCTAACACAGACACAACACATACACAACAACACACAAGATACACACAGACACACACACATACACAGACACACACACAGACACACACAGATACACACACATACACAACAACACACACAGACACACACAGACACACACACATACACAACAACACACATAGACACACACAGACACACACACATACACAACAACACACACAGACACACACACATACACAACAACACACACAGGCACACACAGACACACACACATACACAAACACACACCACAGATACACCAGACACACACACATACACAACAACACACACAGATACACACAGACACACACACATGCACAGACACACACACAGACACACACAGATACACACACATACACAACAACACATACAGACACACACAGATACAGACACACACACATACACAACAACACACACAGACACACACAGACACACACACATACACAACAACACACACAGACACACACAGACACACACACATACACACACAGACACACATAGACACACACACATACACACACACACATACACAACAACACACACAGACACACACAGACACACACAGACACACACACATACACAACAACACACACAGACACACACAGATACACACAGACACACACACATACACAACAACACACACAGATACACACAGACACACACACATACACAAAAACACACACAGACACACACAGACACACACACATACACAACAACACACATAGACACACACAGATACACACACATACAGACACACACAGACACACACAGACACAACAACACACAGACACACACAGACACGACAACACTGAGACACACACAGACACAACAACACAGAGACACACAGACACAACAACACACACAACAACACATAGACACACACAGATACACACACATACACAACAACACACATAGACACACACAGACACACACACAGACACAACAACACACATAGACACACACAGACACACACCATACACAACAACACACATAGACACACACAGACACCACACATACACAACAACACACACAGACACACACAGACACACACACATACACAACAACACACACAGACACACACAGATACAGACACACACATATACACAACAACACACATAGACACACACAGACACACACACATACACAACAACACACATAGACACACACAGACACACACACATACACAACAACACACACAGATACACACAGACACACACACATACACAACAACACACACAGATACACACAGACACACACACATACACAACAACAACACACAGATACACACAGACACACACACATACACAGACACACACACACACAGATACACACACATACACAAAAACACACACAGACACACACACATACACAACAACACACCATAGACACACACAGACACACACACATACACAACAACACACACAGACACACACATACACAACAACACACACAGGCACACACAGACACACACACATACACAACAACACACACAGATACACAAGACACACACACATACACAACAACACACACAGATACACACAGACACACACACATGCACAGACACACACCACAGACCCACACAGATACCCACACATACACAACAACACACACAGACACACACAGATACAGACACACACACATACACAACAACACACACAGACACACACAGACACACACACATACACAACAACACACACAGACACACACAGACACACACACATCCACACACAGACCACACATAGACACACACACATACACACCACACACATACACAACAACACACACAGACAACACAGACACCACAGACACACACACATACACAACAACCACACAGACACACACAGATACACACAGACACACACACCATACACAACAACACACACAGATACACCCAGACACACACACATACACAACAACACACACAGACACACACAGACACACACACATACACAACAACACACACAGACACACACAGACACACACACATACACAACAACACACACAGACACACACAGATACACACACAGAACACACACAGATACACACACAGACACACACAGATACACACAGACACACACAGATCACACACAGACACACAGACGCACACACATGGCGTTGCAGGTTACTTCTTTGATGGAGTTAAAGAGCGATTTGTGATCGCGGCCACTGAGGCAGACTCCATTTCATCAGCAACCCGCGACCACCTTGCAGCGCCTCACGGCTCTCCGAACCTCCGAGCGAAGGCTGCGGTAAACCTCCTCATTCTCTGACGTGGGATGTTGTAGTGGGCCGGTCGCTTTTTCACAGCCAGCCTGAACACCTCCTCTGTCAGCCAGGGTCTCTGGGAGGTCTGGACCGCGTACCCAAAGCAGCCATTGCAGCTGCCTGAGTCACAGTCCTAAACCTCGCCCATTTATCCTCGATATCAGGAGGAGTTGGGGACGATGCCAACCCCAGCTGCAAGCGATGATGAAATTCTCGCTTGCAACTTTCATCAGCTAGCTGAGACCAGGCCACCGTGGGTTTGAATGGGGTCCTGGGTGTACACCCACCACCGGAGTGGAAGAATGGCAGGCGCATCTTACAGATGACTAGTCGATGGTCAGTGGACAGATCAGCTCCACGGTAGGTCCTGGTGTCAAGGACATGGGCACGCATCTGCCGTTCCGTCACTATGTAGTCCAGCAGATGTTCTTGCTTGGACTCGGCATGCATCCATGATGTTGTGTGGATGCGCCGATGCTGGAACAGCGTGTTGGTAATTACAAGCCCATGGGCTGCATAAAAATCTAGCAACTTCCGGCCATTGTTATTGAGCTGATCTGGCCCATGCCTTCCAATCACTCCAGACCAGGTGCCAGCATCATGACCAACTCGGGCATTGAAGTCACCGAACAAGATGACTCTATCCCGAGGGGCCACTTTAGCCAGCACCTGTGACAGGAGGTCATAGAAGGCATTTGACTCATTGGCCTTGCCTGCATCCCTCCACGGATGTTCGTCTTCGGTGGGGCATATGTAACCACAACCACCACTCCTCGCCTCTGGTGGATGGGAAGGCGAGCCCAAAGTAGCCTGGGGCTTACAGCTTTCCACACCTCACCGCCACGCTCCAACACTCCCTTCATTCGTTTGTTCAGAAGAAGAGCCACTCCCTGTTGTTTGGCAGTCTCCTGCCCCGAGTAGAGGACTGTCCACCCCTCATAGTGGCAGGAGCCAGAACCGGTCCACCGGACCTCCTGAATACCACAGAGATCCAGGCGGGTACCGGTCCAGCTCCCGACAGAAGAGTTGCAGCCTCTCCTCCGCAGTGAACGTTCGAACATTCCACGTAGCCAACCATAGTGGTTTATTGTTGTTTCTGGAGGAGCCCTGATGGTAAGACAGACAACAACAACCGCCATTCGCCACTAAGTGACAGTGACGTTACCACAGCGCCTGTGCCAGGCTATGTGCACCTTGAGGCCATGTGAAGTGCCGAAGGCTCGCTGACAGGACTCGGGCTCAGACGCAGGTGCCATGGGTTGGCTGAGTTGACTGGTGGATGCATCTCCAGCTGTACCCCTCTACTGTGCCAACTTGCTGCATGTTAGCCGACTGGCGCTCCGCTCGTGGTTGTGAGCGTCGCTCCTCTGCCCTCTGTTCTTGCTGGAGGGTGAATGGTTCCAAATTCCCAGTAGCAGCGTTCTTCACGAGCCTCACAAAGAGACCCATAGACTACTCACACAGATATCCATAAACTCATACAGAGACCCGTAGACTCATACAGAGACCCATAGACTAGTGACACAGAAGACCCGTAGACTACTCACGCAGAGACCATGAACTACTCACGCAGAGGCCCCATAGACTCACACAGAGATCCATAAACTCACACAGAGACCTGTAGACTACTCAGACTACGAGCTGCATCATCACCACCATCACCACCACCACCATCACCTTTCCTCATGAAGGGCCCCTTGCTCAAGTCCACCAACCCCCGCGGGCATCGCCTCGTAGTTGGTCATCTTGTTGACCCCTCATGGAGGCGAAGGGCAGTGGTGGACGATGGAGTCAATCGTGGAGTCGTCCTGCGGCCCGGTCGAGGAAGCGCGACACGCGCAGCACGCTGCCTCGCAGGTCCTGCAGCAGAGACCCGAGGGGTCAGGGGGTCAGGGGGTCGAGGGGGTCGAGGTGGACTGACGAGGGTCAAGGTTCCACGACTACATCGGCATTCATCTCCATGACACTGATATCTCTACTGCGCCTCCCATTGTCACCACCACCTCCATCACCACCTCCATCATCACCATCACCACCTCCATCATCATCACCACATTGAACATCATCACCACCTCCACCACCTCCATGATCATCATCATCATCATGACCAGTGTAATGCTGCTGATACTGATGATGATGCTGCTTATGATGCTGCTACTAATAATGCTGCTGATGATGCTGCTGCTAATGCTGATGCCGCTGATGATGATGATGGTGCTGCTAATGATGATGCCGCCGCTGCTACTGTTGCTGATGATGGTGACAATGATGCTGATGATAACTCTACTGCTGCTGCTGCTGATGATGATTATGCTGATGTTGATGCTGCTGCTACTGCTGATGATGCTGCTGATTACCTTGATCATCTCTTCGAAAGTCATGAAAAGAATGTTGGCCTGTGTCTCATCTCGTACCATTCACTCACGTGCTTGAACCACGTCTCAGCGTTGACTTTCGCTGCCATAGCGGAAGGACAACAACAAAGAGACACAAAATATAAAGATCTCCCAACATTCTAACATGCTGTAGGGGCAACATCATTGCCAATACTACCACTATGACCACCACCAATACCACCAAAATCATCATCACCATCACCAACACCACCACCACCACTACCACCATCATCATCACCACCACCACCATCATCACCACTCACCTCCATTATCTGGTGCAGTGTGTACACATGGCCAATAGAGAGACAAAGGCGGCCGGGCCTGATGCTGGCCACCACCCCACAGTGACGGCCTTCATAGGCACTGCTACTCGCTAACAGCACTCGCCACTACATTAATCATGTAGTTAAGTGTGCGTTAGCGTGGTTGAGTGAGTGAGTGGAGTTTGTATGATCTCCCCCTGTCCTACAGAGGTGAGTGTAGTTTGTATGATCCCCCCTGTCCTACAGAGTGAGTGGAGTTTTGTATGATCTCCTCCTGTTCTACAGGAGTGAGTGGAGTTTGTATGATCTCCCCCTGTCCTACAGAGTGAGTGGAGTTTGTATGATCTCCCCCTGTCCTACAGAGTGGAGTTTGTATGATCTCCCCCTGTCCTACAGAGTTTGTATGATCTCCCCCTGTCCTACAGAGTGAGAAGAGTTTGTATTATGATCTCCCCTGTCCTACAGAGTGGAGTTTGTATGATCTCTCCCTGTCTACAGAGTGAGTGGAGTTTGTATGATCTCCCCTGTCCTACAGAGTGAGTGTAGTTTGTATGATCTCCTCCTGTCCTACAGACGTGAGTGGAAGTTTTATGATCTCCCCCTGTCCTACAGAGTGAGTGAGTTTTTATGATCTCCTCCTGTCCTACAAGTGAGTGGAGTTTGTATGATCTCCCCCTGTCCTACAGAGTGAGTGGAGTTTGTATGATCTCCCCCTGTCTAAGAGTGGAGTTTGTATGATCGTTCCACTGTTCTACAGAGTGAGTGTAGTTTGTTGATCTCTCTCTCCCTGTTCCGTGTGGGGTTGAGTGCTCACGATACTTGTGTAGAGTCAGTGCGCTCCCCTGGCGGCCGTGAGGCTACTGACGGGTGGGAGGAAGTCACAATCGACAGAACAGAGATGGCGGCGAGTGACCACCAGGGGGGGCTAACTAGGCCAGGGGCAAGCAGAGAGGGGATCGATCCTGGCAGTTGGACAAGAGGGGCGGGGCCAGGGCGGGGATATGAGGCCGAAGTAGAACCGGGGTTCTGGGCGCCGTAGGAATAGGGGTCGCTGTCGACGCTGTGTAGACAGCAGCTCTAGAGAGACCACGTGGTGGTGGCTGTGTAGACAGGTTCAGGGCCTGCCTTGCTTCCCCCACCCTCAACCATACATATACACAAGACTGGTTCTTGGAATGTCTCTCACTGATTACAGCTGTCGTGCTGTGGCAATACCACCTGAAGACGGAAGCTTGTGTTGCCTCCGAAACGTCGTGGTTTTTAATTTTATTTTACTTTTATACAAATTTTACCTACGTGACTTTACCACGGAAAAACCTAGAATATGATCATTGCAGTCACGAAGCTTCAAATCTATAAACTCTGTAGAGAGACACGCGGTGGTGGCTGCGTAGTCAGCCAGCTCTAGTGCTACCTCGGAGATCGAACTTAATTCGTTCTAGAAGCCATTCGAACACGATTTGTTCGAACACAAATCAATTAATGTCAATTACATTAATTGGTTCCAGACACAAGAAATCTCTCATTATAAAGCATTTTGACGCGAAGTTTACAGTAATTGCATGCATAAACTCATACAAAAAACAAGAAACACACTAAATAAATGGAATAAATGAATAAATACATGGAATATAATGAAATACACGAACATTGAACTTCACTTTACCTGTAGTAAGGAGAGTTGATGCTTGAGTAGAGGGTGGTGAGGAGGAGGAGGTAAACTTTCGTCTGGGCAGGCGTCCTGCACCGCTGGTGACGCTGGCCATGCGGAGTCTCAGCCGTACAGCTTCTTTCAATTTCGATTTTAAAGCTTTCGTGACTGCAGGGGATTCATCTTCTTGGTTCTTTCGGTAAAGTCAGAGTCATTCAGACGCTGTCTTTCCGACAGACCTGTTCTTCACCTGAGGACGGCTGCTTGCGTTGTGGCCGAAACGTCGTGAGAATTATTTTATTATGTTAAAATTTTTATTATTTTATTATTTCCATTCTACGTGACTTTACCGAAAGAACCAAGAAGAGGTTCTTTCAAGTCGCGATTCGCCCGTTCGACCTCCGAATTTCTTTCTGTTTCCGTGGCAAAAAATGATCGGAAATATCGTTCGCACACCGATTTGTTCTAGTTCTGGTGCGTTCAATCTCCGATGTTCTACTGTATCTAGTTAGACATCGCCGTGATCGATATATAGTGAACCAGCTATATCGCCGATGAGCGCTGAGTAACCTGTGACTGTCATTAGAGTTGTAGCTGTTTGCCGACGAGAAATAAATAAGAAGCCCTCTAAAGTTGGTGTCTCTGCAGTCATTACGTCACACTTGTAGTGGGTGGTGGTCGTGGTGGTGATAATGATGCTGCTGCTGCCGATGATGATGATGATGGTGATTGGAGACCAACCTTGATCTTCGAGGTATATCTCAATGTATGTTTTAAAATCGCCAGGGTCCGGGATGTGGCAGGAGATCTTGGAGAACTCGTACAAGGACACCAGTGTGTCCTTGGGATGCCTCGCCAAGTAAATGACCTGGCCGGTGCACACAGCGGAGAATCGTGGTCACGATCGTCGTCGGCATCATCGTCATCAGCAGAATAATCAGCAGCAGCATACTCAGCAGCAGAATCATCATCAGCCGAATCATCAGCATAATCATCATCAGCACAATCATCATCATCATCAGCCGAATCATCATCAGTAGAATCATCAGCAACAGCACAATCATCATCAGCAACAGCGGAATCAATGTTCTATCATTCTCATCAGGACAGGGCCACTGTGAGCCCCACTGTGAGAGAGTCAGAGAGACGGACAGAGAGAGATAGAGACAGAGAGACAGAGACAGAGAGAGAGAGACAGAAAGACACACACAGAGACACCGAGAGGCAGAAGAGACACAGAGACAGACAGAGACACAGAGAGACAGAGCGAGAGACAGAGAGACACACACAGAGACACAGACACACAGAGACACACAGAGACACACAGAGACAGAGAGACAGGGAAAGAGAGAGAGACAGAGAGAGACAGAGACACACACAGAGAGACAGAGACACACACAGAGAGACAGAGAGATAGAGACAGAGACACAGAGCGACAGACAGAGACGCGGCCACCACGAACCCCGGCCTCACCTTGCCCTTGCCGCCCTCTGTGAGCTGCTGTGGTGCCAAGTGGAGCTGCAGGTGCGTGGTCATGAGCCGGGGCGAGGGCTGCAGCTCGAGCTGATGCTGCCTGAAGGCGCCCTCCAGGTAGGGGGCCCTCTCCCAGGTGCACGACGTCGCCACCGCCTCCAAGTCCCCGTCGCTCAGGAGCAGGCTCGCAATCTCCTGCATCCACGTGGTGCCTGTGGGGGTCAGGGAGAGAGGTGGAGAGAGAGAGAGAGTTAGAGAGAGACAGGTAGAGTGGTCGAGAGAGAGGTGGAGAGAGAGAGAGGTAGAGAGACAATATTGGAGAGAAATGGTCTCTCCATTTAGTGTCCGGTAGGTCGTAAAGGTCCCGGGAATGCAGTGCCTTGACACAGCCACGTGTAGAGCGCCTTGACGCAGCACGTGTAGAGCGCCTTGACGCAGCACGTGTAGAGCGCTGGCTGTGTTCGGGGCACTCTTCAGGGGCACGTTCCTGCAGCCTCGGAGCTTCAGTGGCTTCTCGTTGTTGCTGTGGCCGGGGGGCTGCAGCAGCAGCAGCATCAGCAGCAGCACAACTCCGGGAAAGAAGAGAAGAGGGGGGGTGGGGGCCGCCATCGATCCCCGGCGCCTCCAGCTTCAGGCGCAGCTCCTTCATGGCGTGGAGCGACGTCCCGCAGCAGCTTCTCCCCGGCGAGCGTGGAGCGGAGTCCCCTAGCTGTGCTGGCGATCTCAGCTGCGGTCTTCCACTTGGGCTGGTGGGCCTGCACGAGGTGGAAGACTGTCCGCAGCCCTGCCGATGTGAGGCGTAGAGGCAGGGTCCTCTCTCCTCTATCCCGGAAGAGCCGTTGGAGAACAAGGGCTCGTTGAGGTAATGTGCGAGCTCGTAGCGCTCACGCGTTCTGCTCCACTCGAAGCTCCGCCACGCGTCCAAAAGGCTCTGGTGATAAGCTGGCAGCCTCGTGTAGTCG